ATTGGGTTGAAAGATATATATATTCGACAAGTATCTCAAATGCTTTATTCATGTTATGTTATCAATTGAGGATGTATTAAAATATGGGTTGTGCATTAATAATGTTTCGACTTCAAGTCAAGTTCAAACGAAAACTATTATGCCAAATTTTGTGCAATATCTCTATATGCCTTAGACTCTAAATTGCTCACATGTGTACCACACACCTTAATTTGAATTGTATTTGTTGTTGTTGTTGTTGATGATGATGATATTTGAAATCGAAAAGGTAAGCATGAAATACTAATTATGGCCAACGTGCCAAGAATGATCTTATAATTATCGCCATTAGTGCCAACGAAATGAAAAGATGTGAAAGTAATATGAAATGGGATGATTGATATAAAAAGTTTGATGTCTCAAATAAGACAACCTAGCCAGTCGGGTCGTGATCGGACACTATACCACACACATGGTGGTTATTGTGTTGGAAATTATATTTGAAAATTGTGATTGTAGTCGATGTCCCTAATGGATAGTCTAGACGATCGGGTCATGATCAGACTCCGTGTTAAAGACGGTGGTATTGAAATTGAGAGTAATTATCGTTGATGTCTCTAATGAGATAGCCTAGCCGATCGGGTCATGATCGGACTCCGTACTGAGAGTACGGTGGTAATGGTATTGTGAATAATGGTATTATGGACAATGGTATATCGATACTAAAAATCTCCCAATGTGAGATATGGAAATTAATTTGAACACTGTCTTGATCCTAAATTGAGGTTTGATATTGATTAAGGCTTTCATTGATATTATGATAATCTTATTCGTATTATTTGTCATTCTATTGAGAGGGTGTTTAGTTATACATACTAGTGCTATTCGACAGTACTAACGTCCCTTTTTCCGGGGACACTGTATCTTTAAATGGATGCAGGTGGTTCCATAGCAGGAGATATTGATCAATGATAGCAGTACACCTTCTTCCCAGCTGACTTGGTGAGCCCCACTTCATCCCGGGGTCATGAATATTTTGTACTTTGTGTATTCTGTTTAAGGTATAGCCGGGGCCTTGTTGCCGGCATTATCATTTTACTCTTTTTTATCTATAGAGGCTCCGTAGACACAGTGCGGGTTGTGTATTGGTGCTGGAAAAGACAAAATATGTTATGATGTGGTTGTATTATTTGTCCACTTGAGACTTTAAAAATGATGAAACTATTGGAAATGAATTGGTATTGTAGACGTGAATACCTTTTTGTCTAATTAATGAAAATATGTATTATCTCCATTCGTAGATGAGTTTGGATAGAAGGAAATCTAACAGGCTTGCTCGGTCGGGTTCACTCAGTTGAGCGCCGGTCGTGTTCCTCGGTTTTGGGGCGTGACACATATCCTCGTGCGACCATGCAAAACAATCAGCGTTAATTTTAAGGAATTCAATAAAATCTGACCTGAGCTCTGGGTGCAGTACTGTTCCCAAATAGAACTTCCTTTCTAGGAATTTTTCAAACAATGCAATTTGCTCCAGTTCTTCTACAGTGGACTTCGTTTCGTTAGTTTCTTCCGGTACTTGGAAATACCTTAGTACCTGATGTTGCTTCGATTCCGCTGTCTCCGGGAGGATTCCCTCTGGTTCGAGGGTGAAAGCCGGTTCCGATAACTGCTATGCCGTAGGTTCCTTTCCCTTAGTGTGGGAAACTGAGATCGTATTCATCTCTCTTACCGCCGGTTGATCACCTCTTATCTGCTTGATCCCCTTGGGTGTTGGGAACTTGAGCAGTTGGTGGTACGTCGAAGGCACAACTTTCATCTCGTGCAGCCATGGCCTCCAGAGGATGATATTATAGCCCATATCTCTATCTACTACTTCGAGAGAGCTATCTTTGTTACGCCTTCGACATCAGTAAGCAGTAAAATTTCCCCTCGGGTTGTCACGCTTGCGAGATTGAAACCAGCAATGAGTTTTGTTGCCGGGACAATGCTCCCTGTGAGTTTAGCTTGATCCAGAACTCTCCATTGTATGATATTGGCGGAACTTCCTGGATCCACTAAAATACGTTTAATTTTGAAATTTAACACATTCAAAGAAATTATCAGTGCGTCGTTGGGCGTCAGTAGTAATCCATCCGCGTCTTCGTCCATGAACGTGATATCATCTTCCCGGAACCTCTTGCTATAGGTCATCGACACTTTTGTCTTCTTTGCGGCTGAGAAGGTGATCCCATTAATTTCGTTCCCTTCGAAGATCATGTTGATCGTTTGGCGCAGAGGTTCCTCTCCTGCTTTCGAGGTTTGCATGTCTCCCCTGTCCCGGCCATAGTTGTTCTTGGCTCGGTCACTCAAGAATTCGCTGAGGTGATCATTTTTGAATAGCATTGCCACTTCTTCACGGAGGTGCAGGTAGTTCCCAGTCCGGTAACCGTTAGTGCCATGATATTCACAGCATAAGTTTGTGTCCCTCTAATGGGGATCAGACCTCATCGGTCTCGAGAACCGCACCTCTTTGATATCTCTCATGCCGACACTAATTCCACCGCACCGACATTGAAATTATATTCTGATAACTTTGGATAGCGTGACCCTGGGATCTCCCTATCCTGCAGTGGTCTGTTATTCCGCCTGCGATCGGTTCTCATGGTATTGACAAACTTGTCAACCGACTGGAAGCTCCTGTCGCGACCTTTCGTCCGCTCGTAGGGTAGAAAACGGCCCCTTGAAACTCGTCTATCTTAGTCGGCATCGTCTTTCACTTTATCTTTGTTCTTCTTATGTCCTTTTGCTGATGAGGGGAAGTCAACCTGATCATCTTCAGTCCTTATCTTTGACTCGTACCGGTTGTGGACATCCGCCCAAGTTGTCACTTGAAACTCGAGCAGACATTCCTTCAGCTTCCGGGAAGCATTCGAACGCTTTAGGTTTAAACACTTAGTGAACGCTTCAGCTGCCCATTTATACGGAACAACCGGTAACAACATCCTTTCCTTCTGGAATCGACTAACGAACCTTCGTAACAATTCGGACTCTCCCTGCGTAATCCTGAATATGTCGGCCTTTCGGGCTTGTACCTTTCTGGTCATGGGCCTTGATGAATGAATCTGTGAGTATCTCGAAGGAATCTATGGAGTGCTCGGGTAGTAATGAGTACCATGTCAAGGCTCCTCTCGTGAGAGTCTCACCAAATTTCTTTAATAATACAGATTCAATTTCGTGAGGAGCCAGATCGTTTTCTTTCACCGCTGTTGTGTAGGTGGTGATGTGTTCTTGTGGATCTGAAGTTCCATCGTATTTCGGCACTTCAGGTATTCTAAACCGCTTAGGGATTACTTCCGGGACTACACTCGATTTGTACGGTAGTTGAATATACTTCTTCGAGTTCGGACCCTTCAATATCGGCGGTGCGCCCGTGATCTGATCCATGTGGGCATTGACTTCCTTTATGAACCGCAAAAGTTCTTCCTTGAATAGGTCATTGTCGCTGTTAAGTCCAGATCTGCTCCCCCCAGCCCCGTCGGAGCCAACTTCGCCCCTGGGAGTGTTGTTGTCGATTCTCTGCGTTGTTTGGTACATAGGAACAACTGGAGGAAATGGATCTCGCCTGTTTGCATTATTTGAAGCGCCCGATAGCGCTTGTTTTAACTCCGTCATAACCTGATCCTACCGCGTGAGGTGACCTAAGATGATTGCCTGTTGCTCTTGCAGGATCCTTACCGTGTCTGCTACGTGCCCCTGGTCAGCATCATCTGGAGTCGCTTCCCGTACTTGTCTGGGGTACCGCCCGTCATACACCGGCGTGGCATCTTCCCCCTCATTGCGAGTGTCGCTGATTGAGTCTTCAAAATGGGGGTGTTCCCCTTGAACCTCAGGATTGTGAGTGTTGTTAATGGTATTGATTGCCATTCTTTGTGATCTTGCTAAGACAAGAACGATCAAAGCTTGTGAGTGAAAGAGATAAGGATCAACTTAACCACACGACTGTCTAGGCTCCACGGTGGGCGCCAAACTGTTTACCCGAAAAATGATACAGTTGAATTTGTACGTGGTTTCTAGACAAGTGAATCAATTTGATCCCATAAGATAATGAATCAGTCAATTTATATGCAAGATACTTAGCTCAAATGTAGATAAAACGATAGATATGGAGGGCCCGTGGATAGTGTTTTCGTGCACGATGATGATAAGAACAACAAGCTAGAAAAATAGTATCAAGACGCTGTATTAGAAGAATTCTTTGATGTCTGGAAAATTATCCTACAATGATCGTTGAGCCTATTATTTATAGCTCAGTGAGTGTAATGGTTGGGCCCACCACTAATGACAATTATTGAAGTGCGGTAATGGAAACCTAACGGTAAACATAAATGCCTAAATTCCTGTAATGAGCCGTTACTCTTTAATGCTGTGGAATATTCTTCATTAAATGCTACCGGACGCATCATGCTTAATGCCTTTATAGACTTGCCTTTCTCGGTGACACACGAGGTAGATGTGCCCGATTTTCTGTCCTCCCGACTTTAATTCCACGTGTTCCCTTCTTTGGTGGCCACTTGTCGTAACATATTTTACCCAATACAACATTCTTCCATGAAGTATAATCTACGAAACAAACTAATTTTTCTTTATGTTTAAGTTAAACTTCTTTATTTTAGATGGAAATCTATAGTCTACGATTTAATTTGTGATTCTCCGACTTCAAGATTAAACTCTCGTCCCAATTTTGCATNAGGAGGAGGGAGTTCTCTGTAATTGTCAAATCTCAAAGACTTAAATAAAAAAAATGTGGCAGGGGTAAAATTGACTTTCCAATTATTATCTATATTACAATAAGCGTCACACCACAATAAAAGAATCTCAATTGGATGATATAATATTGCTAGCATTGCACAGAACTAAAAACTTTTAACAACTAGTACATGATCATAACTAGTTGACTTATATAATACATGGTATATTGATGATCTGGCTGGTAATACATATATATATATAAGGATGCGATTTAGCTGAATATTCCAGAATCAATGGCAACTCATCAATTAATCCTCTTCGTCCTAATAGTTACGCTATGTCTTGTTGTACCCTCCATATTGTTAGTACTCTGTATAGTATTTCGTTTTCGCGCGGAAGGCATTCACCGGCAACATCGACAAACCGCCGGCGAATCAGCGGCGGAAGCCGGCACCGGCGGCGGTCTTGATGAGTTTACGATTCAGTCATACACAAAAATAGTTATTGGTGAAAGCCGGCGACTTCTTCCGGCTTGTAAGAACGAATCAAGTTGCCCTATATGTTTGGCTGAGTACTTAGCAGGAGAAATAGCAAAGTGTATGCCTGAATGCCAACATTGCTTCCATCTTGATTGTGTTGATAAGTGGTTGAAGATGAATACTACTTGCCCTGTTTGCCGAAAGTCTCTCCTCTTCTCCAAAATGCATAATGATAACCTCGTCCCCAATTTGTAGCTCATCACATTTTTCTTTAATATCGGGTATATTGTTATAACTCATAATTCGCCTTGTACATAAACTTGGATCAGTGGGAATTCTAAAGCTTATTTTCTGTTCCAAATTGATGTTTACTTTTTTGTTATTTTCAATAGTTTCGTCTATGGTATACATATTGGAGTATTTTTGTTTAGGAAGATAGAATAATTTTAATTAAAATTTCCGACAAAGTTTGACGAATGATACTCTTGGTTCAAGGTGTCTATGCAATTGATTAATGACGGCAGAGAAGGATACCAGAATTAGTGTTAGCAGTTGACTTTTTTGCCACATTAGTTGTGAGCATAATCAGTTTTGATCTTTGGGAAATGCACGTCTAGTAGATGAGAAGTAGAAAAAAGCGAAAAACCATAAGTTAACCGTAAATATAGTCCTCGATATTAGAAGGAATATATTACTTATATTAATTGGATAACTTTATATTTGGACTAAATTCTTAAATGCCTTAACCGCCTCTTGTTTTGCTACCCCTTAATGTTATGTGTTAGGATTGAAAGAATCAAGCTTTAGCAAGCCCGAGAGTTCCAAGTGCAAAGCCAACATTAATAGTTGGATCATATTGTAAAGCAGATGTTAATCAGTGATCCATATTATGCTTCTATTAGCTTTAGTTTCTTCAACTCTAATCAAATATTAATATGTGCAGTCCCGATAGATAATAGTGTTTGCTAGTTCACATCTCAGTAACCTGTTTCTTTATTATTATTGAGTTGAACCTTTCCAACTTGTTAACTTTGAAAAAGAAAGAAAAATCAAGTATTAGTCATTTTCAAGCCGGAAATAATTAATTTACCCTCTGACTCACTCAATGTATTATGTATCAGGCCAGGTTTTAGGAGTGTCTTTTTGTTCCTTTTTTTTTTAATTCTTCGCTAAGTTTGATAATGTAGAGTTTTTTCTTGAAGCTCAAAGGGACAGTGACCCTTGCATTTCTTCAAATTATATACTCTTAGTTGATTTTCCTACTTTAAACAATAAATTGCCAAAAGTCTCCTCCTCTTCTGCAAAATGATAAGCTTGATTCTTTCTTTTTCTTGCATAGCTTGATACTTAATTGTAGCTGAAGGGGCAAAAAATATTCAGTTATACGAGACATGTCTTTTCACTTTATGCTTTGCACGTAAGTTTAGATAATCAAGAATTTTATCTTTCTTGATTCTACCTAATGACCCATGAAAAGACCAAACATAATATTTTAGAGAGATATACTATGTTTTTTATTTTATTTTATAGATATACAATGTTAAATCACTAGTGAACTTAATTCCTTCTCTCTTCACCAAAAAGTCAAAATCTTCATAGATGAGACCTATGGGCACTCTGAGTCTCTTCTTCTTTCTTTTTCTCCATCATTTTGCCCTTAGTGGTTCTACAACATATTTCTCTTCAAACATTTCCATTTGTGGGAATATCACCATTAGATACCCTTTCCAACTACAATCCCAAAAACATCAAGATCAAAATCCAGGTTATAACAATTGCTTTTCCTTAAGGTGTACTGATCAAGGCAATGCACTACTCAATATTCCTTTTTCAGGAGATTTTCTTATACTAGAAATCAACTACACCAATAAAGAACTAAAACTCCAACATCCCTCTAATTGTCTTCCAAGAAAGCTCCTACATTTTCACCTTCCTTCTTCTCCGATTTCGGCTTCTTCTTCTCAGAACTACACCTTCTTCTTGTTATCTGGCTTTCATGGAGATCTTAGACTATCATGGGATGTTCATCTTGACAAATATAGAGATAGTAACATGACAACAAGTGGAGAAACCACCCATCTCAATGTCCCAAGAACAGGTGAATGAAGTTTTTGACTTTTTACAACATGTTATTTAGTACTCCTATTTATTTCAACTCACTAATCAATGTTTATTATATAAAATTACCTTCAATTACCTCTTAAGTGATCTAACTATGTAAGTTTTTTTTTACTACCGTAAGTGCAAGTGCCTAGAACGTAGCTAAATGTTTTGATGTGCGTTGTGTAGATATCACAGCTAACGCATTTGCGTATACGAAATGTCAATTAGATGAAAAGTCGTAAGGTTTAGGCTAACGTTAGTGCTTAGCTTTTCTATTTTTCACACACACACACACAGAGACACATATAAAATTTGTATACATGTAGTTGATATTGAATTATGTGATAACTAATTATATATTTTACCATGGATATGATCAATTTCATGAATTGACAGATAGGACTTCACGTTCAGAAGCAATCTTGATCATTTTCGTGGGTGTGTCCCTCATTCTACCATCCCTCCTCTGTTTAATCTGCGTAACATGTCGAATTTTTCTCGAACTAAGGCATCACCGCCAAGTGACGGCCGCTGCTGCTGCAGCCGCTATGGCAAGGTTAGCACCAATGCCAATGATTGTGATAGCAGGGCTTGATGAATCCACGGTTCAGTCCTACCCGAAAGTGGTTTTTGGTGAAAGCCGGCGCCTTCCGGGAATTAATGCTGTAACTTGCTCAATATGCTTAGCTGAGTACAATGCTGGGGAAACACTGAGATGCATACCTGAATGTGAACATTGTTTCCATGCTGAATGTGTTGATAAATGGTTGAAAATGAATAGCACTTGTCCTGTTTGTAGAAATTCTCTTCATTCATGATCTTGTGCTCTTCTGCTTTAGCTTCAGTGCTTTCAGCTCGAATCATATATATGTGTGTATATATATATATATATGGTAGTTACTCTGAACTATTGAGCCCAAATCCTGCAGTCCGCTCCAAGTTGTGAGCTTTTCTCTCTAATTGATGCGTTTCGATAAACGTGAGAGCATATTTGATGTATACTGAACTCTGTCTATATTAGATTCACAACATATACCTGGCCCCTAGTTTAGACTTTAGAGTAAAGGGATTTGTAATAGACAGATGATTAGTGTAAAAATAGTCATCAACAACAACAACCACCCAGTGTAATCCCACAAGTGGAGTTTGGGAAGGGTAGAGTGTAAGCAGACCTTACCCCTGCCTTTAAGAAGACAGGAAGGGAAAAGGGGAGGGGTGTAAAAATAGTCGAACTATGAAAAACAGTAAAGAAAAATGAATACAACGGATTCATATAAGTAAAAACCAACCCAGTTTATTTGGATTTGAAGTGCATTAATGTATACTTCTTTTATGGTGATTTTGGTGTGATAATCCAAAGCACGGCAGCAGCTCTTCATCTCCCTGCTTCAGGAGAGTTTTTTGTGCGCGAAATCAACCACTTCAAGATTACAACTATATGATGCTCCAAATTGACTTCCGAGAAGGTTTTTAAACATCAGCAACTTCTCTTCACCATTTCAACCTTTAAACTACCAAATCTACACATTCCTTAGGTGTCCTCAGGAGCTAGTGAAGAGCTGGTTCTCCAATATTGAGTGCCTTAACAACTCTATAACTTCAATATTAACTACCACTTTAATGAATGTAATGAGAGCTATGGACAAGTGAGAAATTGATGTAACTAACTTGCCTGCGTACATCTTATCACAATGATTTTGTTTCAATGATTGCATTTGCCTAGGTTGTGTATCCTTTTAATATCTATTCCAAAGTTTTTAGTTAATACTTCCATTTCCAAACGAATGAGGAAAAAAACCTTTTCTAAAGATGGACAAGAAAAATTGTGAATGTAACCAAAGACTATCAATAGGAGACCGTAACTTATCATGATTCTTACGGCCCGTTTGGACATAATTCCTTTTTTCAATTTTTTTTTGAAAACAATGTTTGTTTATCAAAATCTTACAATTTTTCCAATCTCACTTGAAAATGCATTTTCAAATTTGAAAATTTTTCAATTGAAAATGGGAAGGTTATTACTTACTAGTGTTTAGTTGCAAAATATGTTGAAAAAAAGACATTCCAAATATGTTGTAAAAATTATAACCAAACACAATTTCATCTTCAATTCAAATTTTAATGAAATTCCAAATTTGATTTTTTTTTTTTTTTGGAATTCATGTCCAAACGCCTACTTAATGTAGCTTTAATAGTAGTATTCGTATTAAAAAACAGTACTGGTTAGCTTCTGGTATTAGTAAAAACGAATCATGCAGTCATGCAATACGGCATTGAATTCACAAATATCAAAACAAAATCAACATTAGTAACCTTTTATAACTCTGAAAATGCGAACTACTATTCATCATTCTCGGAACATGTTCTGGAACCCAGTAAATACACTCATATCTACAATTCTACATGGTACGTCTAACAGAGAAAAAGCTGACACTTTCCTTAAACATTTGGGTTTACAAGTTACAACCAGCTCCTCAAAAGCAAAACAAACGAGCACACAATTATTTCTTAGCGAGCAACTTCTTTGGAAGCATCTCCGTAGGTGTGGTTTTGAGTAGGAAAAGCCTGGCTGCACGTTCTTGCAGAGTGCCCCCACACTTCAACCCACGCACTTGAAGTTCTGATTTTAACCTCTCCATACCGACGGCCTAACATAAAACCAAATAAAAAAACATTAATAAGGTACAATAAAACTATAAATGAGAGCAACACGACTGCTACGTTTACAATTTAACACCAAGACAAGCATCACTGGTGATGAGGCAACCATACAGATAATAGAATATCTCCAATGACCAAATTCTTGATACACTTTCCATTAATATAGCAACTAATTATATGCCAAATGCATTCATGTCAAACAACAGATAACCCTTGCACTCTTCAAGTCAGACTGATAGGACATGCTTAGTGTCAGACACCTCCATACTCTTGTCTAAGTAAAGACTCACGGCAGAAAGTCAGAAACCAAGCAATGCCTTAAAACACGAGTTGCCCAAAACAACAGACACCCAACATCCGCACAACCTTATTCCCCTTAAAAGTTAAAACACAAACTTACTTGCAATAAGGCACATAGTGACATAGGTAGCATCCAATTGGGTGGAAAACAGCAGCAAAGTACCGGAAGATAATTATTACGTACAATTTCTTATTCATTTTGATAGAAATAAAGTTGTTAGAAAAGCGCTTAAAACATTCCCCCACGTAAGATTTCCTCCAAAGTCCTACAAATGAGAAAAAAGGAAAATAGTCCCTCCTTTTTGTTTTTGTTTTTTGTGGCAAGTGAAAATGGTCTTCTTATCATTTAACACTCAGTTCCTTTCAAACAAAGAATTCTAGAGAATAACTTCCCTTCTCTTTTTCTGATTTTACTGCAATTTTCTCAGGAACACATTTTCCCGGCAACCTTTTTAACATCCAATTGAGTCCTAACAAAGTATATAATAGTCACTGAAGAGCGATGTCACTGATTCAGCTAACATCTAAAAGGTAATAACAAAGAGGATGGACCATGACATATGAGATTGCGAGAATGCACGGGAGAAAAATCTATTTTTTTAAATGATACAATGAGCCATATATATATAATACATATTCTACTCCTACTACATATAGAACTAGGACATATTTTACTCCTACTACATGTTGGGACTAGGACATATTCTATTCATTTACACATAACTAACTAACACTCCCCTCAAGCCGGTGCATACAAATCAATCATATGTACAGAACTTGTTACATATGTAACTAATACGAGGACAATTGAGGAACTTGCTGAAAATATCTGCAAGCTGATCATTCGACATACAAGGCTAATAGAATTCCCCTGAGCAACAAAACCAAGTGGTTGCTGATAAACAAAAGTTGGCCGAAAGGACGCCAGAAAAATTTGAAAATAGTGAGACTAAGCCTAATTCCACACTACAAAATAGGTTCTAAAACACCACCAGAAAACAGAAACTTTTCCGGAAATTACTGTTCAAGCCGGAAAAAGTGCACTGTTCACGCAGAAAAAATAGAAGTTGTCAGAATTGATGTAATTTATATGGGTAGGCTTGGAATCACGGGACAAGTAAGTTGTCCTGAAGAAGTATTGTCAAAAAGTGGCCGGAATGGCTCACACGTGCCGGAAAAGTTACTGTAGCTGTCGGAACCCTAGTTCCAACGGCGCATGGAGGCGCACGAGTGGCTTTCTGCCGGAGCAATTGACTGGGGTTTTGTCGCCTGACTTTTCCGAACAAGATGGTAGTGTTGGTTTCGCACAACACTTACCAATGAGGAGAGATCGCAAACAATCTTGAGTCGTCAATTGGAAAGAGTGACTGACTTTTCTGTTCCGATGAGACTGGAATTTCTGGGGTTTGGTCGCACAAGGGTTTCGGATCTAATGGGGTACTGGTATATGTACTGTACCACTGTAGCAGTGATGAACCTCGGGAACAAGACGAAGTTGCCGGAAAATTGCATGGCAATGAGATCTTTCTTCCAAGATGTCGCTGAAATGACGCACAAATATAATTTTCTCACTGAAGCTTTGATACCATGTGAGAATGCACGGGAGAAAAATCTATTTTTTTAACAATGATACAATCAGCCCTATATATAATACATATTCTACTCCTACTACATATGAGACTAGGACATATTCTATTCCTACTACATATGGGACTAAGACTATTTACACATAACTATCTAACAGAGATGTTTAGCAACTCTCTCAAAGATTTCTATCCCAATTGTCTCAAGTTGGCCTGCAGCGCAGCCTGCAGTAAAAGGTTTGAGACTCAATCCTATGTATTACTCCCATCAGCTAGGCTAATGTAAACAAGAAAACAGTTACCCACATTGTGCAGTCATTAGAGAATTTTTAGCTATCTAAAACAGAGAACGGGTCACCCATAGGGTGTCCACAAATAAGAGAAGTTCGAGCTCTGTTATTTTCAGTGATAAAAAACGAGCTAGTTTGAGAACAAATAGGTAGCAAACAGAGGACGGCCTAAAGGATATGTATGTAATGACAGATGAACCACACACATGTTCTACGTAATGGAATCATATGATGTCTACTATATCATAACAATATCAGAGAATCTGCATACATACCTCCAGTTCTGCTGCTGAACTAAATTCCTCAAAATTGAAAGGCTTTTTCAAGTCTGAATCCTTTGATGTTGCATCTTCCAGAGGAACTGGTTTAGGGCTTAAACTATCGCTGGCTTCAGCAACATCATTTTCTTTCTCACCAGAGCTAGCTTCCACAACAATTGGCTCAGAACTACCAGAAACTTCCTTTTCTGTTTGAATACTTTCAGTTGCAGATGCAATATCAGTGCCAACAATAGAGGCAACACAATTCTGTCCAGGTCTTTCTTGATTGTCCGGAGTGAGTGAGGACGGACTTTCACCTTCATGCTGAACTGAAACTACACTGACATCTTTACCAGATTCAGAATTCTTCAGAGGAGTATCCTTTTCTTCCTCGGAGCCGCTCTCAGATGCAACACCATCAACTTTCCTGCCAATCACAGAATCCAAACTTCCCTCTGCTTCTCCATTGTAGTCTGAATTATTCTCATTATCGATGACAATGGATTTGTCATTCTCTTCCTCGTCTTTGTCACTGTCATCATCATCTAGATCCTCGCTATCACTGTCGCCCATTATCCTCTTACCCAACCTACCAAAAATCACAAGCTTTAAGTTATTATTCCCTTTTACAAGGTACTAATTTTATTGAATAAAATGGGAATTTTCCGCATACAAAATGTGTATAAAAAGTGGAAAATCATCATGAAAAAGCGTGATTCTCTCCAACTAGCATTCAATCATTTCCATTTTATAAATTAATGTGTTTTCTACCAGGCAGGTAACACGTAAAATTATGAGTGTTTATAAATACATCATTATACAGAACACTGATTACTCAAGCGCACCACTTTCTAAGAACAAACTGAATAGATCTAGCTAAGGATTCTTATGGTCCAACTATAGAGAACCAGCATCCTTTATCCAAATAAGTAAATAAATAAATAAATAAAAGAAAGAAAGAAAGAAACAGGAAAACCAGGAAAACAGTGCTTTCCCTCCTTTCTGCCAGATTATTTGGTCTTAGAACGCTGATCTTAAGAATGAATCATTACCCTTCCAGTGGCGGAGCCACATTCAATCAAGGTCGCCGGAAAATTACATTGTATTGCTAGATAATTCTTTTTTGTTTTCTGTATATTTACTATATGTTACTCCCCTAAACTTTTCGATGTATCTAATTTTTTATATTTTGACACCCCTTGGTGAAAATTCTGGCTCCGCCACTGTACCCTTCCCTGTCCCTGATTGCCCATCAGCTAATGTGTTCCACTTGTTGACCAAGTTTCAATGGTTGTCGAAGGTGGCCTTGAGGCAATACAACTCTATAAAAAGGGGAGAACTATACAAAATCAGTCAAAAACATACTAAACATAAGAGTATTACCTTTTAAAACTACTTCACTTTGAAAAACTCAAAGCACGCGTTCATGTGCTCACATCCAAATTAAACTGAAATACATTTCAGACACTGAAAAATTATAGATGATATTCAGCTGTTCAACCTAAGATAATGGCTTTCCAAATAGCAACTCAATTCAACACAACACTAAAGCAAAACCTAAAAAATCCCAAAGTAGTTGGCATCAGCTACTAATCCTCAATATCCACTCTGGTTTCATTCCAATACTAAATATTTAGTCTTTCAAACAAAATAGTTGTTCTTGAACAAAATGGAGCAAAAATGAATGCAACAAGTGAAAAGTGACAGGCCTTACAATATCTTGAGCTTCTTGGGATCAGATTCATTGAGCTCAGCAGCACCTTTCCTTTTAGATGAAACAAACCCCTTAAGCGATTCCCTAACAGACCTCTCTACTTCCTCCATACACTTAGCAGAATCCTCCCTATACTTCTGCACATACTTATCCGTGTTACTATCTCCACTCTTATTACCCTTTTTCGCTGCTTTCTTGGCATTTTTCTTAAGGAAATCCTCCGCCATCTTCTCCAACTTCCTCTCCTCCGCTTCAGCCCTCCACTCTTCCAGCCTCTTCTCCGCATTCACATGCCTTAGCCTTCGTCCACTCATGTCCCTGCACGCGTCGAAATTATTCGTCTTCTTCTGCCCTGCCTTCGTCGCCGCTCCTCTCAGCAATGACCCGAATCCTCCTTTACCTCCCCTCAGGCGCACCAACAAATTCACCACCACTGGAAAATTAGACCCGTTAAAGAGATTTAGAGTTTGGCGGTCGTCATGTAGGGGGTAGAATGAATTGGAAAGGAGCAGGAGCTGAAGGTGACAAGGGATTGAAGTTAGGGCTTGGATTTTCTGCTTTAGGGTTAGGGTCGAGATGGATGGGGTACTGAAATTTAGGGTTTTGTGCTTCCCATCGAGAAGTTTAACGAGGACTTGATGAATTACAGACCCTTCCTTCATCTCCATCGCCGGTTTAATTGATTGATCGGTAGTTTCCCTTTTGTGCTTGTTCGCCGGAACGTGCTTTAAACCGATGGGCGATTGGGATTGGGATTGAGGAAAGAGGGAATTCCAAATATCTGGAAAATATATATAGGAGAGCTCGAATTCGTTATAACTTCGAGGGAAAAAAAGAAAAAGAAAAACTATGGATAACTTGAAGCCGGGTCGGTTCTTATTAGTGTACATCAAAGTTTGGGCCTTTATACAAGCCCAAGATGTCTCATTTTCTCGTTTTCGGCTCAATTCATTCCCTCCCGTAAAATACTANAAGGAAAAAATAACAACGTAGGGAGATAATTACCTCTTTTGGAAAAAACTAATGTCCGAGTAGTGTCGAAACCTCGCCGGAATTTCTTCTAAAAGATATATATATATATATATATATATATATATATTATATAAAAAATACATAAATTTTATATATTTTTCGTGTATCGAATATAAATAATTTCCGTTACGGGCTAAAAATAATCTTTGACCAATTTTATTTCATCTAGTAGTTCCGAGTCTTCCGACAAGTCATCAATCTTCATTTAATTTTCTATTTAAGTGTACAGGAAATCCTGAATTCGCAAACTAAACTTTAGATATTGTACACATGAGATATTTTAGTAAACATTGCATGGGGCGCCCTATTTGGTCGCCCCCTTTTTAACATGTACCCGCTTTGTTTTTCTGTTTGCATCCGTACCTATTTTTTTTTGTTAAAAATCTTTTAAAAAGACGATTTTGCCCTTCTTTATTAAAAGACTACTTTCTCTCCAAATATACGCCATTCTACTGTCTCTGTCTCTCTTCTCCCGTTCTTCGCATTTTTTGATTTGTTTCCCTCTGAAATCAAACGGTTTTCGATTCTTCTTGATTTTTCAACTGTTTGTTCCCCAATAACATTACGTTTAATCATATGTACACTGCATTAACTTTGATTAGTGCATTAGTTTTCTAGGTTTTACTTTTACGATTGTGTTTTTAGATTTTTTGAACGTGTGTTTGTGTTTTTGATGAAAATTCTATAAATTCTTTAGTGATTTTTGGATACTTTGATATTTTTAACAATTTTGAGAGTAAAATAGGTGATGCTATTAAAGTGTGAAGTTTATAATACTTCAATGATAACTTAATTCTAGGAGCTGAAGTTTTGTTTTGTGTTTTGTATTTTTGTTATATTATTTTATGAACTTCAGCATTATTTGGAGTTGAATTTGTGGTCTGTATTTGTAACTTCAGCATTTCTAGGAGCTGAAGTTTTATTTTGTGTTTGTTGAACTTCGAGTTTTTGCTGAAGTTTTTGTTTTGTAACTGTTGAACTTTAACATTATAGTCCTGAAGTTTTTGTTTTTGTGTTTACTGAACTTCGAGTTTATGCTGATGTTTTTGTTTTGTAATTGGTGAACTTTCAGCATTCTAGGAGCTGGAGTTTTATTTTGTATTTGCTGAACTTTAGCATTCTAAGAGCCATGCCAAGACTGTTACAGTTTTTGCTGAAGTTTTTGTTTTGTAACTGTTGAATTTCAGCATTATAGTCCTGAAGTTTTTGTTTTTGTGTTTGCTGAACTTCGAGTTTATGCTGAAGTTTTTATTTTGTAATTGGTGAACTTTCAACATTCTAGGAGCTGAAGTTTTATTTTGTATTTGCTGAACTTCAGCATTTAGGAGCTGAAGTTTTTATTTTATATTTGCTGAACTTCAGCCTTCTTAGACCTGAAGTTTTAACGGATATTTGTTCTGACGTTATTTTTTCTATATTTTATTTTTTTTGAACAGATGGCATCTACGAATCCTAAAGCACCTAAAGATCCTAAAGCACCTAAAGCATGTAGAATACGCAAATCTCTTTCAGTCCCTATTGCTATACCTACAAAACCAGGGGACGAATATTATGAGTTTGGAGATTTGTTTAACTGTCGTGCTTATTGGAAGGGGAACAACGGATTGAAGCATTATATTGCAACTTTCTTGACTCCTACACAACAGCAGAAGCTGAATAATGGTACATTTCGGTATATTATGGCTATGGAGAATTTCCATTGCAGCATGAAGTTGGATCATTATTTGATTCTTTCTCGCGTATTCACCAATGATCGAGACTCCATTAGTTTCAAGATTTTTGGTCATAATGTGTCGTTCACTCTTGAAGACTTTCATATTATGTGCGGTTTGAGGATCACATCACATGATGTTGAAAAATCAGTTAAACAAGAGAGCAAGATTCTGAAGCGCTATTTTGGCAAGTCTAAGAGTGTGATCTTGAAGGACATTCGAGATTATATGACCCGGAATAAAATTCAAAAGGATGGTGTGAATTTCAAACACGTATGCGAGAGTGATGAAGATGTTGTGAAGCTTATAAAAATTCTTGTTGTGGAGTCTGTTTTGTTTGGAAAAAAGAATTAATCAACTGTGTCGGTGGATTATGCAACTATTGTTGAAGACAATAAGGCTTGTGCTGATTATCCTTGGGGTAATGCGTCTTATGAGAAGCTCATTACCTCAATGAAACATTCTTTGAACAACCAGGACAAAAAGAAACCAACTGAGTATACTGTAGGTGGATTTCCATTTCAACTATGTGTTTGGTTCTATGAGCGCTTCCCAGATATTCGGGAGAAGTATTTAAAAGAGGAAGACTTCCTTGATACCCCTCAAGTTCCCAGGATGTTACGTTATGTATCTTTGGGAGAGCGTAAATATAAAGAACTTTATGAGGATTACTTAAGTAATCATGGTGTAAGTTAATATTTTTTATTTTTCCTTTTTTTTCTGTAGTTGTGTTAATATGTTGACGTATCACTTTTATTTTATTTTCATAATATACTTTTTTGTATTAAACAAAAATATCGAACATTTAGGATAGTGGATATAATTTCTACCGAAGAAGAATTGAATTCAATGCCTTTAATTGGACAATTACCATGCAGCCAGATTCATTCAAAGGTACTGAATCCGGTTCCATCAACTGGTGAATCACCACATAGTCGGAGTCGATCAAAAGAAGCCAATCGAACTCCTGTAATTGGTGAATCATCGCGTAGTCGGAGTTTATCAAAAGAAGCCAATCGAACTCCTGTAATTGGTGAATCACCTCGTACCAGAGTCATTCTAACCGTTCTACAATGGCGTTTGACAATGATGAATTAGTCAACACAATATGTCGTATAAGTTTTGAGCTGAAGTTTTTTGTTTTTGTGTTTTGTAAAACTACAGCATGTTTTAGCTGAAGTTCTTTGTTCTGTTTGTGATGAACTTCAACATTCTAGCAACTGAAGTTTTGTTCTGTATTTTTTGAACTTCAGCATGTTTTTAGCTGAAGCTTTGTTCTGTATTTTGCTGAACTTCAGCATGTTCTAGCTGAAGCTTTGTTCTGTATTTTGCTGAACTTCAGCATGTTCTAGCTGAAGCTTTGTTCTGTATTTGCTAAACTTCAGCATGTTTTAGCTGAAGTTTTGTTATGTGTTTGCTGAACTTCAGCATTCTTCTAGACCTGAAGTTTTGTTCTGTGTCTCTATACTAGAGGGTAACGAGGGAGGTTAAAAGACATGTAGAGGAAGAAAGACACATGATCGCGAAAAAAGTTGTTGAGGAGTTTCAATAGGATGATCGATCTTCTATTGTGGATAAGGTTATGATAAAAGTCAAGGTAAGCTTATTTATAGAGAAGTCTTTTTTTTCTGCTAATGTTATTCAGATTTATCATTGTTAGTAATTTTTTTATAGGAATATTTTGATGAGAAGTTAGAAAAGTTGTTTAAGATTGTCGATAAATAAAAAAGAATGGACGATGGTGATGCTGATTTTGATTTGATGAACTATAGATAATATGATAGGATGAACGACTCGTTCGAACCTCTATCGGATATTAATGCTGCTCATGATCCACTGCATAAAGTCGCAGATGAAAATATAACAGGTGGGGAAGTGGCTCTTGAAGGCGATATTCAAGTATTCGAGGAAGTTCAACGTGTTGAACAACAAGTTGAAGAGGAATGTACCAGTGATGATAGACTAAGCAAAGATGGATATGATGAACAGTTATCAACTGATACTGTAGGAAGTAAGAAAGGTGCAACTGATGAAGTTGTCGATACTGAAGAACATGCACCGAGTTGTGCTTTGGGTAGTGATATTGCACAAGGCAATGTGTGTGGTGATGGAAATCATGAACCTGTTGGTACTGAAGAACTGACACTGAGTGATGTGTGTACCACTATTGGGAAAGGCAATCCGTTTGCGGACGCAATAGCTATTTGCCAAGAAATTTTAGGTGTCGAGACATAGAAAGTTTTCACTACAGGTATAAATATTTTCTATGTTATATATACATATATCATTGATCCCTCCCCCATCTTTATGAATATGCAGTGGAAGTTAAAAATAGTTGTGCTTCAATTGATACTACTCAAAAACTCTCTGATGATGCTGTATTGCATGAAGATAGAGTTGAGAAAATCCTTCTAGAGAATACTTAAATGCTCTTCGACGTCGTTGCTGCACAATTGAATGAAGCTGGAGCTGCTGAGATTGACAAAGGCATGCAGTCTGGCGAAACCGCAGTGGAAGACAAACGTCAAGGTATTCTATAGATCACGAATTTATTACATTTGATCCAATTATATATTTTCAGTTTGAAATTTTACATACTTTCTTTTCCTTTTTTATACCTTTTGATGATTATTCAAAAAGACTCAATGCAGCTGAAACAGAAATTGGTGAGATCATTCCGCTATATAAAAAAGGAGAAATACATCTATTCATACCTGTTGGCTCAGAGACTGGTGTGAAGTCTGTTTGTATTATTTTTAAAATTTAGTCAGTATTATTGAGTATATTATTTTTTTGCATGAAGATATAGGCATATCTGATGGTAATGGTAGTGGATCCATTGGAATGCAAACACAATTTGTGTCGTAACACTTAGACCAGGTAGTTATTTTCTGCAATTCGATTACAAGGTATTTTTTTTGCCTAATGTGTATTTTATATCAGTTATATTTTATGTATATATTTTCCTTGCTTTTGCAGATCTCATCTGATGCATCACAACTTCTTCCAAATCCTAAGAGAAGGAAGATGTCCAGTTATCCTAAT